TGCATCAAGAGGTGTTTTGGTTTGTGAAATGTTAAGTGTCCTTCAAAGCATGTTAAACTTGAGAATGAGAATTTCTAGAATTATGACTGCTCTTGCAACGAACCTTTCACTAGCCAAATGGTGTCCAAATGGGGCCAAACCAGTTTTGAATGAAATATATGCTCGTTTATTTCAATTTTTCTTTTTACAATATATTAAAATTTCGTATGGGTTAAGAGATATACCTCAAAAATGTAAGGGTATATTACTGTCCACAGTTGTTGGGATTTCCAGCAACTGTCACCTATTTTGCACCACATTTTGATCCATCAAATGATGACCAAACGCCTTAAAACCATCACCATTTGAAAAATCTATGAATAAAATTAAAGTTGCATATTGAACTCATTTTGAAATTCCTCATAAATTAAGAAATATGCCTCGAAATGTGAGGGTATGTCACTGTTCACAACTGCAAGGAACTTCCAGCAACTGTCACTCACTTTATGCTGAGGTTTAGACCTCTCAAATGTTGTCCAAATACCTTCAAACCATTGCCATTTTTAAGATCCACGTGTAAGCCTAAATTGCATGTTTGAACCATTTTGGAATTTTACGCCCCCGAGAAGAAGGGTACGTCACCGTTACACGTCACATAAATTTTAGTCCTATGCTCGTATTTTGTTCTCTTTTTTTGGATTGTTCTCTAAGTAACTCAAGTGGCGCAACGTTATCTTTGATAAGCGATAAACATGAGTGCTATGTGATAATTTTCATGTGATGTATACTAAATTCCATGGTGTTATGTGAACGGTGCGATGCAGCTATGCATTATGTAAAAATTTATAAATGCAATGTTACTGTGATAGTCCCATGACAAATGTTACATGACAATTACCGTAATGCTAATACTGATTGCTAAGCGTAAATGCAATCTGATATCTCTCATATAATGGGTGTTTTATGCTAGGTGTCATAATGTTATGCAACTGTTGGATAGTTCGGAATAAGACTCATCTTTACATGATCAAAATTTGAATTATCTGTCATAAGGCATTGATTTAGTATGAATGAATTAAATGCTTGCGCATGATATGATGCCATGATAATAACCACTATGCAATGGGACTCCTATTGGTAGTGGGTACTGTTATGTTATGGTACTGTGATACTGACCACTACACGATGGAACACTCATCGGTACTGGATACTGTTACATTAAGAAAAGTGATGCTGTCAATATTCTCTAACCCGTTGAATGATAGGATGGGGCTAGGTGAAAATTGAATGGGAGGGTCAGACCGCCCCGAAACTTATATGATGAGACTAGTGAGTGATGTTTTGCAAGGTAAGTACCTATCGAAAACCCCAATACGCGCTGGGGACCTTGTGCGTGAGTATGAAGGCATTACAAAGTGGATTTACCCACTTGTCATTGTGCTCCCTCCTTAGGTACGGTAGATGTTCTAAATAATGGGATTGGCTTGGTACGCCAGACAGTAGTGGGACCACTGCCAATGGATTTGGCATGGTTGAAAACCCCTATGGGCCAAGTTTCGACTTAATCGGGCACTTCAAGACAAAGTTATGGGTAAAATACTAAAAAGGGGTAAGTCGCATACTATTCCTGTGTGGTCACCCTACACCAAACCATCATTAAAGGTTGCTGTTTCATAGTCACGGGCAGTGACTTTTGGGACCCATATCTCACTCATTCTAAGTTGGATCGTGCTCAAATTTTGTGAGCGTGTTCATCTCATCAAGAGAGCGTTTCGATAGGTGGTATACCCTGTGACGATGCCCAAGCAGGGAGAAAAACTAGAGCGAAGTTGCTGATCCACGAAGAAAATTGTAGAAAAATCAGCAGTAGTACGCCTCATTTGAGCGACCAAATCACGACGCTCACGTACCCGATCGACGCGAAACCAATTGTATTATGTGCGTAAGGTCCAAGGCTATCTCTGGTTCGAACCTCGCGTACGATGAATGGTTGGATTTCACACACGGAGGCGTCGAAGCTGCTGTAAATTTCGATCATCGGATTTCAAGATTCTGGCAAAAAACTCAAGACGACGAAATCTTCATTCGGACAAGAAATCGAGCTGCTTTTGTTGCAACGTGATCGTAACAACATGTTCAGTGCGATTCAGCAAAGAAACATAAACATCAAGGAACGATCGTACTATCGATCCGAAGTTTTCAAGATGTATCCAAAATTCAAGTCTCATAATCATGACATAAAAACATGATTCATGACTCAAAGTTGGTATCAAATTGATCATCATGCCAAGCCCTACAAGAAACAATCATCGTTCAATCAAACGGACATCAGAGCAACCCCGAATCAATCATGGAAGATCACGCAAATTCTCGGGCAACAGTAGGGACTGTTCTGAAATTCCACATAATGTTATGCAGCAGTAAAACAGTCTTTTTGCACCCATTTTTAGAATTTCTTTTAATTCAATTAAATTGTAATTATCTTAAATTTTAGGTAGTTTTTTGGTGTACACCCATGTTTGGGCCCAATTCTATATAAACATGCATAACCAAATTGTAAAAGGGACATACACAAATCTTCGATCATTCAATAAAGACTTCAATTTTTTCTTGAGTTCGTGGGTGCGTCTTGGAGAGAGAGAGGAGAGAGAAGAAAAGGGCTGATACCCCTCAGTAAGGTAACTTTCTCTCTGCTCTTTTCTCTCTTCTCTTTTCTCATCTACATCTCTCTTTTTCTCTCCTCTTTTCTCTGTACTCTCTCCTCTTTTCTCTTTTCTCATCTCTATCTTTATCTTTTTCTCCCCACTTTTCTCTCTCGTCTCTCCCTTTCTCTTTCTTTCATCTTTATCTCTTTCTCTCTCTTCCTCCTTTAGTCTATCATATCTCTCTTTCCCTTCTTCTCTTTCTCCATTCATGCATGACGGACTTATCGTCTGGTGTGATGCCTTTCTGCTCCTGAGACATGAACAGTGAGCCGGGCCTTAACCCGAGTGGCGGGCCGGGCTTCTGTTAAAATTCCCTCTCTTCTCTTCTGTCACAAATAGCTTAAGACTATCGCTCCCTACGCTTTCTCTCTCTTCTCTTCTATTGTAGACGGTGCAAGCTTATTGCCACCTATGCTTTCTCTCTGTTTCGTTCTCTCTCTTCTCTTATGCCACAAACAGTGCAAGCCTATCACCGTCTATGCTTTCTCTCTCTCTCTTCTCTTCTGTCGCAGACGGTGCTGGCCTATCACCGCATGTGCTTTCTCTCTCTCTTCACTTTTATCGCAGATGGTGCTGGCCTATCGCCACCTGTGTTAATTCTCTGTCCCCTTTCTGTCACAACGACATGAACCCATTACCGCCTGTATTCCTTCTCTCTTCTTCTTCTCCCATGGTTTTCTATCCTACTCTGCTTCTTCTTCTCTTTTCTCTTATTTTCTTCTTCTTCTTCTTCTCTTCTCTCTTATTTTATTCTTCTTCTTCTTCTTCTCTTCTCTCTCTCTTTCTCTCTTTTTCTTCATTTCTTTTAGTCTTTCGTCTGATTAAGATCGTTCGAGATTAGCCTTCTATAGTAGTCATGTCATTTAGCAATAGTGTCATTGTGTCGGTCAGAGTTACTGTGCCCACTTTATTGCCACGACAGACTAGCCATTGTGTCTAGCTAGTCGGTATTGGTACTGCCGTCTAGTAGTAATTCTGTCGAGCCGGTCTGAGTTACCAAGCTCATTTTACTGCCACACCGGGTCAATTACTTACTAGTTTAGTCACTTGTCGGTCTCACCGTCTGATCAAATTCTTCTCATCCTAATCTTAATCCTCTCATTCTTCCTTCCTTTTTTTTTTGAATGTGCATGCTTGTGTACATTCGCCCAAAGGCAAGGTGGGGTCCCTTGACCCACTTGTCTTATAACATTTGCCATACGTGTGTGATTGTAGAAACAAGAGAATATAGGCCAAGGGAGGCGATTCCGAACCAGTTTTACGACTGGGGGCCTTTCTTCATGATCTAAGAGGGCACCCACTAGAGCCAGCCCGAGTAAGTCCCGAACCCACCTTAAATTCCTCTCTCATCGGTTAGTCCACCTGCACTTGTTCTTGAGCAAGGTTCCCGAGAGAGTGATCTCAAGTCCCGGATTCCCCTGAAACTTGAGATGCATGCCATCCAATCATCCAGATCTGGAGGGCAAGATTGAGGCACCTAACCAATGACTTTTTATAATTGGAAGAACTGCTTATGATGCATGAATAGACTCATTAATGATGCATAACACCTAGATCTACTTACTAGGCTTTATACTTCATCCCCCTGTATCTCCCGTCTTGTAGATTGATAGCACCAGGTCGAGGGCCAGAAGTTCGTGATTTGCAGGTTGGGAGTCGAAGTCTTAGTCACTTGAGAAGAAGCTCAGATCTTGTAGGTGGTTGGGCAGTTTAGCCCTGAATTTTGTTTATTTTAGAAAAATGTAATATTGGGCTCTGATGCCCCAAACGCAAGTGTAATATTTTGGGAAGAAATTGATGTAGTACTTTTTTATTATTGTATGGATCCTTTCAATTTCAAATATTTATCTACACTTAGAGTTATTGATTTAGTTCTTTGTCATGGTTTTCTTTGATCACTTATATAACGGTGTTGAGTCAACTCTGACTTAAGTGACTAGCGCTACCTTGGGATCACGAACATGCACTTGGTCACCCTCTGTCAAGGTCGAAATAGGGGTCGGGGGTAGGGTAGTGACAGTTCAACTGCCTATAATCAATACACAGCCTCAGAGACCCATCCTTCTTCTTCACAAACTGGACCGGTGCACCCAAGGGTGACACGTTGGGTCGGATGAATCCCTTATCCAACAATTCTTGCAATTGTTCTTTCAACTCCTTCAACTCTGTTGGAGCCATTCTATACGGGGCTTTGGAGATGGGAACAGTGCCAAGGACTACATCTATCTCAAATTCAATCTCCCTTACTAGAGGTAGGGATGGTAAGTATTTTGGAAATACTTCGGGATACTCTCTTACTACTGGTATCGCCTCTAACTAGGACTTGACGTCCTGATTTTCAACCACATAAGCCAAATATCCTTGACATCTCTTAGTTAGGAGACGAGAGGCCCAGAGAGCAGAAATAAAGTACAGAGGGGGAGTATCCCTAGTGCTCTCAAAGTGTAGCTCAGTTTGGTCAGGGCGTTTAAAGGTCACTGTCTTTTCATAGCAATTGACGGTGGCATGGTGTATGTACAACCAATTCATGCTCAGGATAACATCAAAATCCTGAATTCCTAGGAGTATCAAGTCTACAGACAAGTCACATCCATTAATTGTAACTTTACACTGTCTGTAAACCCTATCAGTTTCCATGGTATCCCCCATAGGTGTGCATACTATTAGAGTATAATCAAGACATGCAGGCTCAACATTTAAATAACAAGTAAAATGGGGTGCAACAAAAGACTGAGAGGAACAAGGGTCAATTAAGGCTCTAGCTTTAACACCACAAATGGAGAGCGTACCTCTGATCACCGAGGTGGACACCTTGGCTTCTTGTTCGGTGAGGGCAAACACTCGTCCTTGCGTCTTTGGTTGGTCCTCTGTCTTCATCATAGGGCAATCCTTAATCCAATGACCGGACTTGCCACATCTGAGGCACACGTTCTGCTTCTTGTAACATTTGACAGCAGTGTGATTGTCCTTCCCACAATGGGGACAAACCAAGCGTCGGTCATTCTCCATGTTGCCCGGGAAATTCTTCTGCGCCCCTCTGGTTATGTTGGTAAGGCATTCCTCTAACACCCGTCTTTGGAAACTGTTGGGGCTTCGTCCCAAAATTTCCTGATGGCACGGGCTTCATCTTTCCTTCCCTCCTAGATTTGTGATCCTCGCAGTCCCTCTCAATCTTTAGGGCAAGGTCCACCAATGGGGCGTACGAGTTCAGGTTGGCTGAAAGTACCCTTCCTCTGATGTCCAGCCGAAGGCCCCTTTCAAATTTAGCCACCTTTCATGCCTCTGTGTTAATAATGTGAGGCGCGTACCTAGAAAGCTTCGCAAACTTAGTGGCGTGTTACTCCATTGTCATACCCCCTTGCTGAAGCTCAATGAACCCCACTTCCTTCCTCTCCTTGACAGAGTCTGGGAAGTACTTCTCGTCGAATGCCGTCAGGAAGTTATCCCAAGTGGTCTCGGTTTTCGACTCTCTCCAAGATTGCTTTATCGTGTTCCACCAATGTCAGCCTCTCCCTCCAGCATTAAGGCTCCCAACCTGATTTTCTATTCATCTGAGCAATGAAACATTTCTAGGATCTTTTCTATTTGCCTCTTCCACCTCTCGACTTTTTTTACTCCTTGCCCTAAAAAGGTTGGGGGTGCCAGCCTTCTAAATCTTTCTATCAGGCTACTGTCATTTTGCTCTGGGGTAGGGGTAGGCTGGGCTGGCATCAAATCTTTCATCATTTAGGTCATAGCTCCCAGAGTCCTATAAAATTCACCGAGCGTCTCGGTGTTCTCATTGCTGGAACTCGCATTGTTGGCACGAGTCCTCGGCATCTTCGATCTAGCAGAGGAACACCCAATCACTAACCTATCTTAAAACCATTCTAAGGACAGTTCTAGAATCCCTCTAGGTTAAGAATCCTATCCTAGCTGATCTGATACCATAACTATCACGACCCCGCCCCAAACTGCCCTTCTTTTCACGCAGAAGGGTGACCGAGTGTGGGTTCGTGATCCCAAGGTAGTGCATGTCACTCAAGTCGGAGTTGACTCAACACCGTTATGTCGATGATCAAAGAAAACCATGGCAAAGAACTAAATCAATAATTTTAAGTGCATATAAATCTTTAAAATTGGGGGAAGATCCATATATCATTAACATTGCACTACATAAAATTTCTTCCAAAAATATTACACTTGAGTTTGGGGCATTAGGGTCCAATATTACATTTTTCTAAATTAAACAAAATTTAGGGCTAAACTGTCCAAGTACATACAAGATCTGGGTTTCTTCTTAAAGGAATGTGACTTCGACTCCCCGCCACAAATCATGTACTTCACACCCTTCTTACTTGTCGATGTCAATCTACAAGAAGGGAGATACACTGGGATGAGCTATAAAGCCCAGTAAGTAGATCCAGGTGCTATGCATCATTATTGAGTCTATCATGCGTCATGAACAATTCTTTCAATTTTAGGGAATCACAATACAAATGTTATATAATTCAAAAATCTCATTAATGCATATATGACAGGCATCATATCAAAATGTCGTTATTACCATTCAAACATTACGATCATTATCATCCATATTCACTACTCAATCATTACCTGCTCACTCCTTAGTTCACCTACTCTCGAAGTAGAAACCCTATCCATCAGGCCAAGCCAATCATATTGCTTAGGACCTCTACCGTCTCTCAGGAGGGAAGGCAATGACAAGTGGGAAATTCCACTTCGTAATGCCCTCGAACTCACACACACGGTCCCCAGCACGCTTTGGGGTTTTTGATAGGCACTACCTTGCAAGGCATCACTCACTAGTCACATCTCATGAATTTCAGGGGGGTACGACCTTCCCATTTCACTTTTCCTTAACTCCATCCTATAATTCAGCGAGTTAGGGTATCACCTTTCTTAGCATACCGTTCCCGTATTAGTATAACAATATGCATTAGTATCAGAGTATCATAACAGAATGGTACCCACTACCAATGGGTGTGTCATTGCATAGTGGTCATTATCACAGCATCTTAACATGCTCAAGCATTAAATTCATTCATACTTAGTCAGTGCCTTATGATAAATAATTCTAGTTTCATCATTCAAAGTTTTAGTCTTGCTCAGAACTATACAGTTGTCACATAACTCTATGATACTTAGCATAAAACATCCATCATATGAGAGCAATCACATGGCACTTATCATGTAACATTTATCATGGAACTATCATATAACATTGCACTTATCCGTTTTCACACATCACATAGTGGTTAGGTGCCTCGTTCTCGCCCTCCGGGTCGGGATGACCTGATGGCACATGTCTCGGGTTTTCGGGGAACCCAGGACTTTGAGATCACTCTTTTGGGAACCTTGCCCAAGAGCAAGTGCAGGTATACCAATCGATGAGAGAGGAATTTAAGGTGGGTGGGGACTTACTCGACCTGGATCGCATGAGCGCCCTCTTAGATCACGAAGAAAGCCCTAGTTCTACAACTGGTTCGAATCGCCTCCCTTATCCTGTACTCTCTTGTTTCTACAATCACACACACAGTTAATTTACAAGACAAGTACTCTCCTGTTTCTGTAATCATACACACAGTTAATTTACAAGACAAGTGGGCCAAGTGACCCCTCCTTGTCTTTAGGGGAATGCACATAGACACGCACATTCAAAAGAAGAGAGAAAAAAAAAGGCCAAGAGAATAGATGAAAGAAGAAGAAAGAGATAGAATAGAGGAATGGGGGGAGATAGGAATTTGACTAGGCGACTAGACTAACATAGTAGCTAGACCAGCAAGTGATTGACCTGATGTGGTAGCAAGACGGGAACGGTAACTAGACCGGTACAACGACAATACTACTAGACGATATAATGATCATTGACCAGCCTGAAACAATGGCTAGTTTATCGTGGCAGTAAGGCGGGCACAATAACTAAGATCGGTACAACAACAATACTACTAGACGACGAGACTACCATAGTGTTTGACTTAGCCTCCCTGGATCAAATGAGAGGGGAAAAAGAAGAAGAGAGAGAAAAAAGAGAAAGGGAGATGCATGCACAGTACTACCGATGTCGTGCATGTGAGAAGAAGAAAGAAAAGAGCGAGAGGAAAAGAAGAAGAGAGGAGAAGTGAGAAAGAAGAGAAAGAGGGAGAAGAGAGAGAAAACATGGACGGCGATGAGCTTCCACCGTCCATGACGAAGAGAGAACATAGATGGCGATGAGCTTCCATCGTCCATGACAGAAGGATGAGAAGAGAGAGAAAACATGGACAACGATGAGCTTCTGTCGTTCATGACACAAGATTAAGAAGAGAAAGAAAACATGGACGGTAATGAGCATTAGCCGTCCATGACAAGGGGTTAAGAAAAGAGAGAAAACATGGACGACGATGAGCATCCATCATCCATGACAGAGGAGTAAGAGGAGAGAGAAAATATGGACGACGATGAGCATCCGCGGTCCATGACAGAGGGTTAAGAAGATAAAAAACATGGATGGCGATGAATATCCACTGTCCATGATAGAGGAGAAAGAGGAGAGAGAAAACATAGACGGCGATGCCCATCTATTGTCCATGATAGAGGGTCAAGAAGAGAGAGAAAACATGGACGACGATGAGCATCTGCCATTCATGACAGAGGAGAACATGGACGGCGATGAGCTCTTACCGTCCATGACAAGAATTAGAAGAGAGAAGAAACATGGACAACGATAAGCATTCACTGTCCATGACAAGAATTAGAAGAGAGAGAAAATATGGACGGCGATAAGCATCTGCTATCCTTGACAGATGATCAAGAGAAGAGAAAGAAAACATGGACGACGATGCGCATCCACCGTCCATGACAGGGGACTGAGAGGGGAGAGGAAACATGGGCGGCGATGAGCTTCCGTCACCCATAACAGACAATTAAGAAGAGAGAGAAAACATGGACGACGATGAGTACCCACCGTCCATGAAAGAGGAGAAGATAAGGAAACTTTGACAAAGGCCCGGCTCGCCACTCGGGTTAAGGCCTGGCTCAATGTTTGTGTCCTTGCAGCAAGAAGACATCACGCTCGGCGATTGGCTCTGTCATGCATGAATAGAGAAAAAAAAGAGAGAATAGAGAGAGCAGGAAGGAGAGGAAAAAGAAAGAAAAGATAGAGCAGAGAGAAGGAAAGTGAATAAAGAAAATCAGAGAAGAAAAAGAAAAGAGAGATATAAATAAGAGGAGAAAGAAAGAGATAAACGAGGAGAGAGAAAGAGAGATGAGGGGATCAGAGAGAAAGAGAGAGATGAGAGGAGAGAGAAAAAAAGAGAGAGATGAGGAGAGAGAAAGAGATATATGAGAGGAGAGAGAAAGAGAGAGATGAGAGTAGGAGAGAGAAAGAGAGATGTGAGGAGAGAGATAAAAAGAGATAAATGAGGACAAAGAAAGAGAGAGATGAGAGGAGGAGAGAGAAACTTATCTGTACCAAAGGGTACCAAACCTTTTCTTTTATTCTCTCTCCTCTCTCTCCAAGACGTGCCCACATTTTGAACAAGAAAACTCTTAAATTTTATTAATGAGTATTGAAAAATCAAGGGTCCTTTGACAATTGTGTTTAACATGTACTTATAAAATTGGGCCCAAACATGGGTGTATATAAAAAAACTATCTAAATTGATGATAATTACAATTTAATTGAATTAAAAAAATTCTAAAAATGGGTACAAAAGGACTATTTTGCCCTTGCCCAACAATATATGAAATTCCAAATTAGTTCCTGCTGCTGCCCTAGAACTTGCGTAATCTTCCATGGATAATTTGGGGTTGCTCCGACGTTCGTTTAGCCGAAAGATGATTGCTTTCTTGTTGGGTTCGGCATGACGATCGATTTGATACCATCTTCGAGCCATGTATCACTTTTTTAGAGCACGATCATGTGACTCAAAATTTATATAGATCTTGAAAACTTCTGATCGATAGTGTGCTCGTATCTTAATGTTTTTCTTTGGACTCTTCCCTTTTCCTCTTTTAACTGCCTCCCT